AAAGAAAAGAAAAGAAAAGAAAAGAAAAGAAAAGAAAGAAAGGAAGGAAGGAAGGAAGGAAGGAAGAAAGAAAAGAAAAAAAGGAAGGAAGGAAGGAAGGAAGGAAGGAAGAAGAAAGAAAGAAAGAAAGAAAGAAAGAAAGAAAGAAAGAAAGAAAGAAAGAAAGAGAGAGAGCCTGTGCATAAATTTTCACGAGAAAAGGGAACAGTTAAGGGCCCTCCAGGAACCCTAGCGTGACTGGAATAGAGACAGCAAGCAGGACCATGGGCCGAGGGGGACAGGGGAGCTGGCGCATCCCTGGGAGGCCGTGTTAACCTGAGAACAGTGAGGCGCAGTCCAGGGCCCCCAGCAGAGGAGGGTCTGAGGTGGTTTCCCCGAGTGCACTGATCTCACTGCTCTGTGGAGGATGGGCCATGGGGCAGGAAGTAAAGCAAGACCTGGACGAGGAGAGTGCCGCAGTGGCTCGGGGAGAAATGGACCAGGGTAAGAGCCCCAGGCTGGAGAGAAGTGGGTGAACTCGGAATAATCTCGAGAGGGCTGGAAGGTGCTGGTGGTTTGGCTGTGAGAGGGTGAAGGAAAGGAAAGTGACGACCAGGTCTGGACGCTCACCCTGGGGGAGCTGACACTTGGGAGTCCCGTGGAGAGGCTGTCCTGAGCGCGGTTCACTCAGAGATGGAGACGCATGGAGTGCTGTGCTGTGCGGCGCTCAAGGGGAAGAGCAGCGGCAGTTAGCGTCCACGACGACGCACGACACTGGTGATTCGGAGTTCAGAGCTGGCACTCAGAAAGGCAGCATTGGTTTTGCTTTACAGACAGCTCTCAAATCCTTTTCAGCTACTTTAATCTAGCACATTTAACCTCAGGTCTTCGTTTTTAAACTGGTTTTGGGAAAGTTATCATAGATCCATTTTTCTGAAGTGTATCGTTTTACTGATATGTTTGTAAAACACCCTCCACAGGGAAGGGTGAAAGCTTACCTCTTTGGTCTTCCTCAACTCTTGTAATTGCACGGCGTCCCTTTCATGTTGTCTCAAGAGCTCCTGAAACATTTTTATTTGGACAAGGTCACCACTGCGGTTCTGGATTTTCTTTTCAAGAATTAAAAGAACAGCAGAGGATTCACAAATATATTTACAAAAGCTTAGTCATTGGTTTAACAACACACATATTATCAACTAATGATATGACATTTGAAGTTAAATAATGAAAATCCCATGTTCAAACTTATCACACTGACAAATGTTAAAAGAAATTATATTTTCATCAAAAGCTTTTCTTAAACATGGCAGATTCAATACTGTGAAGAATTCAGTTCTGCACAGGTCGATCTTTATTTTTAATGTTATCCTTGTCAAAATGCCAGTACTTTTGTTTGTTTTGTTTTTTGAGACAGGGTCTCAGTCTGCAATTCAGGCTGTCCTTGAACTCATTATGTAGCCCAGGCTGGCCTCAAAAATGTGGTGATCCTCCTGCCTCAGCCTCCCAAGTACTAGGACAACTGGTGTGAGCCACCATGCCTGCACTACCAGCACTTTCTTGACAAAGTACTTCAAAATTGACAAGCTAGTTCTAAAATTTGTATGAAAATTCAAAGGCTGTAGAAATGACAAAATAAGCCAGGTGTGGTGGTGCACACCTGCAATCCCAGCACTCAGGAGGCTGAGGCAGGAGGATCATTGTGAGCTGGAGACCAGCCTGGGCCAAACTGAGCTCAAGGCCAGCCTGAACTGCATAGTGTGACCCTGTCTCAAAAAGATTAAAAAAAAAAAAAAGACAAAATAATCTTGAAGGACAATAGCAGGTTAGAGGGTCTTCACTACTTGATTTAAAGCTATAGTAGTTAAGGCAATGTGCTGCTGGACAAGGTACAGACAAACAGCCGAGTGAGCAGAGCAGGGTCTTATTTCTACTTCTAAAGATGTCTATGCAACTCAGTGGGGGACAGGAAAAAGGTTTTTTAAAAATGATACCAGGCTGGGCATGGTGGCACACACCTGTAGTTCCAGCACTCGGGAGGTTGAGGCAGGCAGATTATTACAAGTTTGAGGACAGCCTGGGCTACAAAGTGAGTTAAAGGCCAGTCTGAGCTGCATAGCAAAACCCCGTCTCAAAAAGACAACAAACAAACAAAAAAGGTACCAGAACACTGGTGATTCATGAGTTCTGTCTCTCCACACATAAAAAAATGATTCAAATGGATTACAGAACCATAAAAAGTAAAATGATAAAGCTTCTAAAAAACAGAATAATTTCATGGCTTTGAAATAGGCAAAGAAAATACAAAACACTTTAACCATAAAAAGAACAGACTGATAATTTGTCTTTCATCAAAACTTCTGCACACTGAAAGATGCCATTAACAAAATTAAAAGGCAAACCACAGGTTGGAAGCTGCTCTACATAACATGTGCATCTGACCAAGAATCTGCACCCACAGTGCATAAAGGACTCTTGTATATCAAATCTTAAGTTTCTCTAAAGAGAAAAGACCTGAACAGACTCTTCACAAAAAGATATATGAATAGTTCAATAAGCATTTGAAAAATGGCCCAACGTAATTAGTCATTATGAAAACTACAACTGTAACAAAATGTACTTCATATCCACGGGAATGACCAGAGCTAAAAGACTGGCAATAATAACTGCTTTGAAGGCTGTGGGACAACTAGACCCTACATATTTAAGATGCAAGAGTAAAATTATGCAACTACTTTAGAAAACAGTTTATCAATTTCTCATAAAGTGAAATCTATAGTTCCCCTAGAGTTTAGTAATAGCTCTTCTAGGTACAAACTCAAGAAGAATCGTATGTTTTTATAAAAAAATGCTTGTACAATAATGTCTATAGAAGTTCTATGTGTAAAAGCCAATAAGTAGAAACAACCAAAATCTCCAAAACCAGAAAAATGGTAAATACTTGTTTACAAAGAAATACTACTGAGCAATAACAAAGGAAGAAATTACAGATATGAAAAACAAGTGGATAAATTTTATAGACATTTTGTTGAGGGGGAAAAAACTATATGCAAAAGAGTGTAACAGTACTGGGCATGGTGGCGCGTGCCTGTAGTCCCAGCACGTGGGAGGCTGAGGCAGGAGGATCGTCGCGAGTTCGAGACCAGCCTGGGCTACAAAGTGAGTTCAAGGCCAGCCTGAACTGCATAGTGAGATCCTGTCTCAGAAAGACAAAAAAAAAAAAAAAAAAAAAGAGAGAGAGTAATAGTATGAGCCCATTTATATGAACTGGCAAAGCTAATCTATGTTGGTGGAAACCATCTGAGGTGGTTTGGGGAGACCCAGCGCAACTGGAAAGGAGCCCAAGTGTTCTCGGGGTTGGACACAAGGGTTATGCGTGTACCAAACTGCTCAAACGCCACACTCAGGCCTGTGGCTCTTGCTAAGTATAAATTAGACCTCATGAGACAGGGCCCCATGTACAGGCAGGAGGATAGGAAGGAGGAAGGAAGGGTGCGTACAGACCCTGGGTCCTTCCCGGGAAGAGCTGCCGCTTCTGCCCACACACCTGAGCCCTCCGGACCCCACTGCACAGCATGCCCAACTCGGCATGATTATTCCAGGCAGTAGTAACCGCGGGCACCAGAGACAGACTTCGGTGAAATCAGTGCTTTTCGATAAGCATGGTGGGCACAGATGGGCACATGGAGGAGACATTCAGATGAGAGCAAATATCGAAAAGTCATTCTCTGTATTGCATGATGAGCATAAGAATCCAGCAGAGCCCGCCGCTTGTGCCCAGGGGGCTGCGGCAGACCTGAGCTCAGAGGCGCTGGTTGCTGATGCCAACTACAGCAGGGGTAGAGTCCTGCCTCTGGGGAACCATCCTATCTATGTCAGCGAACCGAGGTGCACTGCAACGCTCAGCCATCTGGCAGGATGACTGTGTGTGGCCTGCTTGCTAATGCACCTCTGCTTTGTAGATGTCCGTATGTTTGGTGAAATTTGGTCTGCGATCTTCTTTCTTTACAACCTGGTCTCACAGTAAGCTTTGGGGCTGGCAGGAAGACACGCCAGCCATCACCCACCCCCCTCCCCTCAGCCCCTCGTATTTCCTAAAGGCTGCATGTGAACAAATGTGATTGGTTCTGTTTGCAACATCACCTGCTCATCTATCTTTTTTTTTTTTTTGTCTTTTTGAGACAGGGTCTGACTATGCCATTCAGGCTGGCCTTTAGCTCACTTTGTAGCCCAGGCTGGTCTCAGACTTGCAGCAATCCTCCTGCCTCAGCCTCCTGGGTGCTGGGATTATAGGTGTGCACCACCACGCCCAGCACCTGTTCATCTACAGCAGGAGTAAGACGGATGCTCAGGGAAGGGTGCTGGGAGAGCAGGGAATTGCAGGTCCTGTCACCTCCTGCTCGTTACGGTTTCGTTCTACCAACACTGCTCTAGCTCAAGGGTGGTGAGGTGATCGGTCTACTTTCATATATTCCAGAAAAAACGGGGGAAGGAAGCAATGCCCGCTGAGGCCAAAAGATCCTCTCATGGTGGGACAGCTGGGTTCGGCATGGTACACTCAGCCACGCGTGCGGGTTACCTCCTTCTCGCGCACAAAGCTCTCAAAGGTCGCACTGTAGGATTCACTCATTCTCCTCTTTTCTTCTTCTGACTCTAACTCAAACTTCTTTGTCATCTTGTATTCTGCAGAGGGGAGAAAAGAGCATAGCTGTGTGTGACTGTGGGAAGCCCACGTAGACAGAAACCCAGACAGCTAGGGGAAAGCCACTTCCAGCTGGGCCGTCTCGCGGTCCTGGCAGCCCAGCAGGGACAGTCACCCCGGGAAGCTCCGTGGGGCGGGCATGGTGGCCGCGCTCATCGCCCTCACTGCATGGGGCTTACTGTCAACATCTCTCGTCACTTTGTGTAGTCTCTTTGGGATCTGTTGCTGATTATCTGTTCCCTCTCCTGAAGTGGAGGCCATGCTCTCTTGGACATTATTTTTCTTAAAATGACACTCTCAGCTATGCTGATTCTTGCAGCACTGGGTCTGGGGCGGAGGTTGGCTGACCCCCAGCAAGCCCGCCTGAGCACACAGAAGGGCGGGCCCCGGGATTCCTCCATGGCCGTGCGCAGCTAAGTTCCACCCCCCAACACCAGGGGTTGCGTCCTGACTCAGACTTTGGCAACAGGAGATACCGTGTACGTGTAGCTAGAAGTCAGGAGGTGAGCTGGTGTCCGGGACACCAGGACTGGGTGAGGCTTTCAATCTGAGTTGCTGCACCTCCCACCCCTGGCCCAGACGACGACAGTTGAGAGTCCCCGGTGGAACATGGACTGACTTTCCCAGATGTCCTTGCTGTCAAACGAGTGACTTGGTTTTTTTTTTTTTTTTTTTTTTGGTACCGGAAATCAAACTCAGGACCTTGCACTTGCCATGTAGGAGCTTATGCCGCTGAGCTAAATCCCTGGCCCGAGTGACTTGGTTTTGATCAACTGCACAAAAGACGGATGAGGCTGGCGTGGACCATGGAATGGGTTTGTGGAGGGTCACTCCCACTCCCTCAGCCTGGTCAGCCCCAGGAGCCCTCTCCGCGCCTCCACTCATGAGGAGCTCAGCAGGGTTGGAGGTGACCCGTGGGGCCCTTTGGATAATCTAATCCCTGGGTTATGCTGGGAAGTATTAAAATACATCAACATGGTTCCCTTTGGGGGGTGTAGGGGTATGGCTGCTCCAAGTGTAAAGGGTATGCAACCCCCACACACACCAGTAAATGTTCTAAATTCTAATTCAATAACTTTTTCCAGCCCATGGTGGGCAAACTTGGAACCAGGACCTTTTGGAAGGTACAGGCTTAGATCCCTTGCTGCCGGCATCTGGCTTTCAAAAAGACCCAACCCTGCCCGCAGCTGTCACTTGTTTTGGGGAACTCCAGGCACCCTCCACCCCAGCACGTGTTAGCACCAAGGAGCTGGTCAGGATCAAGCTCCACGCCGTTGCTGGGAGCCCTCGTCAGAGGTGCCGTGACACTCACTCTGCTGAAGCAGGATCTTCTCCCGCTCCATCTTCTCGTCCTCCTCCCACTCTGCCTTCCGCTTGGACCACTTGTCTTCCATTTCATCGTGAATGGTATCCTGCAGGGGCCAGGAGGGAAAGGGTCCTTCAGCAGGCCCGGGCCTGGCAGCCACCTTCCCCACAGCATCAGGGCCTGGGTGCCTCCTGGGGAGAAACTCCCGCTGGGGCTGGGGCCTGCTGTGCGTGGCATTGCCTGGCTGGAGCTGGGCTGCTTCTGGAGTGCTGTGTGCATCTCCATTCCGGGGTCTTTGTCCACAGCAGTGAGGGAAGGAGGAAAGCACTCAGAGTGCGTCGTCTGCACTCAGACAGCAAGGAGATGCTTTGTAATGGGCCCATTTTTTTCTTAATCCCTCTCCCCCTCCAACCCTCCCTTCCTTTTTCTTCATACTCAGAGTGAACACTTCTCCTTTGCACTGAGATACATCACCAACTCCTTTTTAATTTTATTTTTTAGAATTTGAGACAAGGTCTCATCCATTTCCCCAGGCTGAACTCAAACTTGCATTCCTCCTGCCTCAGCATCCCACAGTGCTAGGATTACAGGTGTGTGACTTCTTTTCGTGGTTGAGATTAAATAACACAAAGCCAGTGCCACTCCCATTGGTGGCTCAGATGTCCTGAACCTGACAAGGGAAGGCCCAGGTGGGGCGCTGCAGAAGGGGCCGGGCAGGGACCCTGGGCAGCCGGATTCCAGGAGCTGGAAGCATGGGGCTCCCCAGAGCTGCCTGTGGCCGAGGAACCCAGCAACTTGCCTGGCCTAGACTTGGCCGTTCTTGACGTGCTTGCAAAACCCCTTTCAGGTATAAGCTCCACCCTGAGTCTGTACATGGCGTAGAGTTTCCAGGCAAGCTGGTGCTTTGCCCTTGATGGGGAGGCCCCTGGCAACTAGGACTGCAGGGTCACTGTGACAACAGAGGCAGCACAGAGCTTGGGGCCTCAGCTCTCCCACTATCAATTGTTAAGCTCTTGAGAAATATTGTGGGCAGTCAGACAGGGCTGGGCCCTCAGCACAGAAGACAACTGCGCTGGAGGCACCTTCACTGAGGCCAGGCTTTAAGAAGAGAGGAACGACTACACCCACATACTTCCCCTGGGAACAACAGCAGTGATCGATATTCTAAATGGACATCAGCTTGGGGTGGAGGAGCAAACCTCCTTAACCCGCCCCTTACAGGAAAGTCCTTGTCTGTCCCATGTGAGCCTACTATGTGACTAGCTTCTCAATTTGATCCTTATTTGATCAATATTACCTAAGTGACTATTCTTGTTGTAATCTTATTGGTTCCCCATGGTTTTGTCCCACCTCACACCCACCTCGTGACTTCCCATTGGATCAATAGTACCTAAGCTACTGTTCTTGCAATCTTATTGTCTGTATTTCTGTCCCACCTTGCACCTGCCTCACCTCACAGCTTTGCTCAATAAAACACCTTGGAGAAGCAAGGTCAGCAGGCAACCCACTTTCTGGGCCTCCTTTTCTCTCTCCTCAGACAGAAGTTTTTCTTCCTTTCAATAAATTCTTCCTACTTTTAACCTCCATTGTTCCTAGGATTTATTCCTTAATTTTAGAGAACACGAACTCAGCATTGTGGACATCCAGCATGTTGGGAGTTATATTTCTCCTACATAATTTGGAGGTCTTCCACCAAGATATCTGGATGGAGGTAAAAATTTGATTTTGTTTCATAGATTCTCAATTGTGACTTACTTAAGTAATAAAAAATTTTATACTTCAAATTTTTATGTTATGTCTTTGTCCACTGCTTATAATTGCTCATGCTTTGTCTCGTATAATTTTGTTAAAATAGTGATAAATTTAAGTTAAAAACATGGGATGGTTATAATGCTTCTTTAAAGGGACATTTTATTTCTGTTTTGTATACGTTACATTTGGACTAGTTGCTGAACTTGTTTAACTTATTTGACTTATTTCCTTGTTTGACTTATTTGACTGCTGTGGTTTGATATCTTAGATAGCACTAGGGGAACGTAACCTATTAATAAACTGCAGGACCCCTTCCACCAGCTTAAAGGGTGTTAGGTTGGTAGCCATTCTTAGACTCTGGGGACAAGTTTCACTGGGACAGCCTGGCCCTGGTCCTCCTCTATGCTCTAGAGGGGACATCAAGCCTGTTTTGTCTCAGTTTCATTTCTGATCAGATCTTTGGCTGATAAAGAGACAATCTTTCCTGATTTTTCCCTACCACTTTGTACTTTCCTTTTTTTGGAGGCACTGAAGTCTAAAAAGAGAGGAACTCTAAATTCCCCAACCTTTTCCTCCTCCCCAACAACTAAGTTAAGCCCATAGAAAATGAACATTTTTTAATGCCAAAGATGGGGAAGTCATCTTAGATGAGGAATACATACCTAGTCTTTGGGTCAGATGAGACATTGGAATTTTGCCCATCCAGGAGAAGACACACAAAAGTCATGTCCCGGTTTAGTGTTGTAGGCAACAGTCTTCCTCGTGGAAAGAAACAACTTCTGGGTGAAACTAGAAGGTGCTATTTCCGAAAGAACCACACTTAGGGGACTGAAACACGTTTAGCCTAAGGGAGGATCTCCAACCTTCTCCCCACTCCTAGGTCTGGTTCTCATCATTTATGTGTGTGGGAGAGAAAGTACTTTGACAATAAATTGTGGACTTTGAAACTTATACTGTAAACTTACAAAATGCTATGTAATGATTTTTTTTGGTTTTAGACAGCTTGAATTTTTATCTGTCCCTTTAACAAACGGTGGTTACTCTGCCAGCTAGTTAAATGCTCTTAGAGCAGCCTCCACTCTTATAGCAGAGGACAGAGTTCCCCAGCACCTTCTGGTGAATCCCCACTGAAGCCAATGGCCAATGGAATGTTGACCAGTGGGCAGCTGGATTCCTTTCCGGAGACAGACCTCTGGTTCCAAGGACCAGTAAAAACAGAGGAAGCAACTGAGGAGCCACGGCCAGGGCTGCACTCTGCCAGGTAGCCAAAGGCTCCTCAGTGGAAACTGGCTCTCAACAGCTCAACTGGGTGACCAGCAGAAAGATACTGTACTTTTCTCTTTCTGCTAGTAAGTTAGAAACTCCCCCTAAATTTTTTCCAACTTGTTGGGAGTTAGCTTTAGAACCACCTTGGTATTAGACTGCCTCTCCCTCCAGAAATCAGGCTGAGGCAGCTTGCAACCACTGTTTGCCTTCACAGAGGAAAACATCTATCAGGAGAATGACTTACATTTGTGACTTACATGTGCTAAGAGGAAGAAAGAGATTTTACTCAGCTTTTTTCTTTCATGTGCATGAAGAAGACTAATAAAGTGCCTTTGCCAGCATGTAAATTGCGATGCTGGGTGACGGGTATTAGTTTAACCTGCAAGCTTCAGAGATACAAACATTTTAAAAATGAATTTAAAAGACATAGCCTTGTCTTGCTGCTAGAAAATGTTGCCTATGTGAGTAAATAGCTAATAGGAATATCTAGAGGCTTCTTCATCCTAGCGCCCAGAGGGAGATTTTTTCCAAGCCAGTTTTACTTGACAGTCTCTAAGGTGATCTCTTCTGCAGGCTGTGAAGTGCTGCAACTACTTCCAACTCATTTTTTGGTTTTTGCCCTCTTTTTCTTTTTTTGAGGGGGGAGGTTTCCAGTACCAGGAACCCAACTCACGACCTTGTGCTTGCCAAGCAGGTGCTGTGCCACTGAGCTAAATCCCCAGCCCTTTTGCCCTCTTTTTCAAAGAACTAAAAAGTAATGGTTTAATACTAAGCAATGCTTCCTTCTTTAAACAAGACTGTTATAGCTGAGATCAACTGTAACTTGTGCTTATAAAAAAAAACACCTAGGGGAGGAAGTACACAAGTTTTCTGGGAAGATAAAATTACACACCAGTTTGAGGGTGGACAGGCTGGTCAAATTTTATCTTCTGGTCTCTGTCCAGGAGGCACCCACCTGCCCTGGAGTGGAGTCACCTTGAGGGACACCATGAGAGGACAGAAGTCAAATCAAAATTAAAGAGGACGCTCAGTTCTTTCTTTTTGCATTTCTTCTGTAGGAGCTCAATGTCAAGATCTCTTCCTCCTCTGGAATGTATCAGGGCAGTACTGGGACTCAAAGTCAGGACCTCATGCTTGCCAGGCAGGCATGGTACCACTGAGCTAAACAATCACCACCACCACTGCCCTAAATGTGTGCTTAAGCACAGGTGGAGGTTTGACCCGCACATTTGAAAAGAATAGTTTACCCGCTAGAGCTAAGATGGAATGCAGAGGGAAGTATTGACTGTGATGCTATTTCACAACTAGAATTGTACTGTAAGAATGAGGAAAAATGGCCAGAATTGCCTTCAGACTTTCCTTGCACTAAAAAAATACTTCTTCCTTATACTCAAATGTAAATGTTGGGGCTGGGGATTTAGCTCAGTGGCACAGCGCCTGCCTGACAAGCACAAGGTCGTGAGTTTGATTCCTGGTACTGGAAGAAAAACAAACAAACAAAAAAAACCCCGAATGTAAATGTGAGCCACAGGAAAACCAGATACCTCCACCCTGAAGGCATCACTATCACTGAGACTGGGGCTATTTATCCTCAACCTTTGGAATGAAAAGGTTTCCAAGACACTTTAATCAAAGCCTCGCCCGCTGTTATTGGGTCTGAAGTTTCCCCTACTTGCCCTTTGGGTCTTGAGGGTGGACTTCTAGGCTAGCTACAATTAAAGCCTCCACAAGGCTGTGCCCCTGCTTAGCTGACTTTGTTCAAGCTCCTCAAGGACAGTATCCCTTATAGGAAGTAGATGGAAAATTTAGAACTACTTGTGTTTCATGTGCCCCCTTTTCTCTCAGTGACCTAAAACAGATCAGGCAAAGTTTCAGATGATCCCAAAAAGTACACCAAGGTCTTCAGAGGAATTACTCAGACCTATAAACTACACTGAGGAGATATAATGCTATGCTCAAATCAGGGACTTCTAATGAGGGACAATGGGTACAGACTTTAATCTGTGAGTTTCTTAAGTGTGTTACAGATACCCAGGGATACAGATTTTCACAGTAGATTTGAATAGAGCCTAGCCAGTCCTGCTGTAAAGGAAATTTACCTAGGTGACTTGATAGAAAACTCCAAATGTCTCAAAGACCTCTTTGTCCCAAGGCCAAGATTTCTTCTCGACTATTACCTGTCCCAGGAGGTGATAGATCTCCTTTGCAGGCTGAGATTTTAGAAATTTTGATTCAGAGGCATTTATTAGAAAATAAGCCCTAAACAATATTATTGGAACACTTCCCTGTTTTGCTAAGGGTTAGAGATCCACTCCGGGAAAGCTCTCGATGTTAATCGTCTTTCTGCACCCGAGATGGTTAGGGTTTAGTTCCTGGGCCGTACTTGGCGTTCCTCTTCTGTCCCTTCCCCGCCGCTCTGCTCCTGAGAAATAACACCGTTCACAGCAGCGTTTGGTCCCAGGCAATTCTCTCCTCCGTGCTGAGCATTTCAGGGTCAGGCTTCCAGAATGGCGAGTTTCCCTTTCCAGAGTGAAGCTGATCTTCACTTACCCCTGGGTCATATTAAAAAACTGGTCTAGCTTTAATCATGAAGCTCTCAAAAACAGATGTCCAAGTTTTCGTCCGAGTGATCTTCCTTTTAACTCTTAGGCAGAACTGGAGATTAACTCCTCCTCTCTCTTGTCTCAAGAATGATACTGACTGATTTTCATAACACAGATAAATTCATTTATAGAACAAAACGTTCCTAGGGAGCCTTATGAGTTTAATAACAGTTTTAAATGAGAACAAATACTTAAAAATAGGCACAGCCCCAGCCCTAGGTCATCATTTCTCTTTAAACTGTTTAATTAAAACAGGTCTCGCTCTAACTCAGTCTTAAACACTCAGCAGAGAAGTATAACCAAACGATGAGAGAAAACATTGCCACGATACAAGTTAGATACAAAAGGGGCGCCAATTGCCGATCCCTTCTGCTGCTGCACCAGTGGCTGACCACTGTTATGGGTCGTTCAGAAAAACTACAGTAAAATCTATAAAAGCTCAACAGGAATCTTTACATTCTTTAGCCAAAATTGTCCTTCAGAACCACAAAACTCGCCATCCTACAGCTAAAACTGAGAGACTTATGACAAAATAACAGACTCATAAACAGCCTCTATCAGTAGAGGGGATCAAGAGCCAGCAAGTCACAGCCCTGTTCCAGTCCCTAAAGAACAGTTTCTGGACTTGGCTCTCTCCTCAACCTGCCTTTGCCTTCTGGTGCTCATGCTTTGACTACACACGCTCTAATTTCTTGAAAAACTTGTTTATCCTTGCTTAGAGCCTGCCAAACTCCATGCCGATGGGACCAGCTCCTTTTCCTGGGGCCCAGACCAACCTTGCAGAGAGAGCTGACCGCTGCTAACCCACACCATGGTGTCTCTCTAGTCCACTAGACTCGCTCTCTGGAGAAGGCCCCCGACTGCAGTCGCCCCAGCCTTAACCCTTCTCAGCCCAAAGCAGCTGGATGAAGATGCCGCCCATTCTCCCCGAGCCACAGTCAGAGGTTCTTCCTCTGAAAATATTATAGATGCTGAGCTACTGAGAAGTACTTTGGGCAGTCAGACAGGGCTGGGCCCCGCAAAGGTCAGTGCAGGAGACGACGGTGGCTGGAGGCGCAGTCACTGAAGGCCAGGCTTCAAGAAAAGAGGCACTGCACCCACACTTCCTCTCGGGATCAACAGCGGTGATTGCTCTTCTAAATAGGCATCAGTCACCTCAGGTTAGAGGACCAAACCTTAACCACCCCTTCCAGGAAAGCCGTTGTCCATCCCAAGTGCGCTTGCTCTGTGACTGGCTTCCCAGTTTGGTCCCCATTTAATCAGTATTACCGAGGCGCCTACACTTGTTATGCTCTTATTGGTTCACCGCAGTTTTGTCCCACCTCACACCCCTTGATCCAGTTGGATCACTATTACCCAAGCTACTATACATGTAATCTTATTAGCTGACTGTAGATCTGTCCCAGTTGAACCCACCACACCTCATGGCTTTGCTCAATAAAACACCCTTGAGAAATGGGGTCGGCAGGCAACTTACATTCTGGGCCCCCTTCTCTCTCTCTTAGACAGAAGGTTTTTTTCCTTTCAATAAATTCTTCCTGCTGTTAACCTCCGTTGTTCCTAGAATTCATTCCCCAATTTTAGAGAACACGAACTTGGCATTCCAGACAGCTCGGCAGGTTGGGAGTTTCTTTCCCTTTGTCACTCCCTGTCCCTGCCCACCTCCCACTCTCGCTGCCCCAAGAGAAACACTGTGGCCGTCATGAAATCAGCGGATTAAAGGAGTAGGCTCTATTCTGAGGTGGCCACAGCGCTGATAGCCTTGACTGAGTCCATTCTTCCAACCCAGCCTCTACTGCTAGAATCAAAGATGTTCAAAGTGGTGTTTTTGTTTGTTTGTTTGTTTGTTTGTTTTGAGACAAGGTCTTGCTATGCAGTTCAGGGTGGCCCTAAGCTCACTTTGTAGCCCAGGCTGGTCTTAAACTCACAACAATCCTCCTGCCTAAGTCTCCCAAGTGCTGGGATTACAGGCGTGTGCCACCACTCCCAGCTAAGTGGTGTTTTTTATTATAGCAATCAACATGAACTACGCAAAAGTGTCCCCCAGGGCAGGGCAATGGTGACATGCTGATGGCACTGTCACTAGAGTAAGACTATGTCGCTAAAGAAGAGGAAAAGATTCTGTTACGCCCCATGAAGAGTGCAGACAGAAACATGCACAGACTTATCCAGCTGGGGTTGTGCTGTAATCCTAGCAAACTGGGAGGCTGAGGCAGGAGGGTCACAAGTGTGTGCCCAGCCTGGACAATTTAGCAACTTAGAACCTGTCTAAAAAACAAAAACAAAAAGCTGAGGCTATAGCTCAGTGCAAATGCCCTCAGTTGGATCCTCAGTACTGTAAAACAATAAAGCCAAAGTGCAGAGTTGACAGCACAGGACCTCAGCTCATTTCACAAAGGGCAAACATTCAAAGAGGTTGTCTTTGGGCAGAGAATTCCTTTCCTATCATTGCGGCCATTGCTTGTTTCTGTCTATAAAAACTGATGACTGTGTGTGGTGGTTCACACCTGTAATCCCAGTGCACCTGGGCTACACACGCAAGCTCCAGGCCAGCCTGCCCTACAGAGCGAGACCCTGTCCCAAAAAACCAGTGAGCTGCTTTCACTTTCACGACCACAGACAGATTTCTGAGCTGGCCTCTCAGGGGGTGCTTCTCCCTGGCTGTCTGTGCCTCGTGGCCAGTGGCTCCAGACACACTGCGGCCCCGACATCACTGCTCATCTCTGTTCCCGGCCAGCAGCGAGCTGCTTCTCTCACTCTTGTGATCCCCCGCACAGCTCGGACTCACCTGGTACAGATAGAACATGTTCCTCAAGTACTTGTATTCCTTCTGCATCTCCTCTGGGGAAAGGAAAGACAGCAGGGTCAGCATCATTCATCTGACATTCACATTTTCAAATTTAAATGTGAGCTGCCTGCACACGTCCCACTCCAACTTTCCCCCTAAGCCAGTGGCGAACCTATGGCGTGTGTGCCACAGCCGGCTGTTTGTCACATTGACAGTTCTGTAAGGTCCGCCATCACTACCCAGGCTGTGGAAGCTCTGTGTGCCCCAGGAAGCACCCTGGAAACTTTTCAGAACTCAAATGCTGCCAGACATGGCGGTCTGTGCTGCAGACCCAGCACCTTGCGAGACTGAGGCAGAAGCCCAAGGTCCAGGCCAGCCTGAGCTAAATGGCAAGACCCTGAGTCAGAAAACCAAACCCAAGCAAACCCCCAAAGCAAACAACCCCACAAACAACCCACAACTAAAACAACCCACAACTAAAACAAACCCACAAACAACCCCACAACTAAAACAACCC